TATGAGCTCTTCTCGTAATGACCGCTGGTTCTGCTTAATGAATAACTGCGTGAGGGTCAGCGTCTTTTCCGCAGAAGAGTAACTTGGTAATTTTCTGTTCATTATGATGGACACCAGTCCGCATTATACACGCGACCAGGGGCTGTGAAGCGTTCGACTTTTGAGTGGCGTGAAATTGATAATATAACTTTTAAAAGGCCTGCCTTATGAAAATAAATCTTTACTCGCAGAACTTTCTACCGCCAGAAAAATCGTTCTCCGCTATTGTAAGCCGTCATTGTTTCTCCTGATTGACCTTGGTTGGACCAGGAGGAATATTGGCATTGGTGCGCATCCCGGGTTGCACACCTGAGCTATTTCTCATTTCAGCTTCCTTCGTCAAATAAACTGGCTTGTCTGTGTCCAAGAGCTGTTTGTATCCTGCATCTTCCTTGGACAGATGTGAACTTTGAAGTTGTGTACTGTACCATATAGTAGGCAATCATGGGGCTGACAATGATAGTTAATTAGCCTGGCTCAAAATTGGTTGGTGAGCTGTAGTTGGGTCTATCATTATTGTTAACCAGCCACATTTGAGTTTTGACTACAATTAATGACCTTTTTTATTGAAGAGAACAATATTGTTTGTCTTCTTTTTAGATCTTTTATTAAAGTTATTTATGTTGAAGGGGGAGGCACAGTGGTTAGCATTCCTGCCTCACAGTGCTGGGGCCCTGGGTTCAATTCCAGACCTGGGGTGCTGTCTGTGTGGAGTTTGTATGGTCTCCCCATGTTTTCTAGGTTTCCTCTGGGTGCGCCGTTTTCCTCCCTCAGTCCAGAGACATCCTGGTAGGTTAATTGGCTTCTGGGAGAATTGGCCCCATTGTCAGTGCTTGTGTGTGTTCCCTGTGATGGACTGGCATCTCGTCCACGTTGTACCCTGCCTTGCACCTATTGCTTGCTGGGATAAACTCTGGCTCCCCAGTGACCCTTTACTGGAGACAGTGATTAGAAAATGAGTGAATGGATTTATGTCAAAATTAATGTCTTTAAGAATTTCTTAGGGTGATTAACAGAATAGAAATTAATGATAATCATAAAGGATATTGACAGTGGAGCTAGTCCATCTCCACAACTTCAACAGCTTGGTGCATGAAGACGTCCGTGAATTTGCTGCTAATCGCTTGCATAATAAGAATAATAAGATAAGGGTAAAAAGAACAGGGGGGTTTCACTATGTTTAAATAATGTACTGCATGTGACTTGTGCAGTTTTCTGTCTTTGCAAAGCTTTGATCAACATGCTTTACTGCACTCAACTATGACAGCAGCCTGCTAGTATTTACCAAAGCAGATGTTTAGAAGGGTTGTGTAGACTTAATGTCATGGGTAACTGAGAATTTGTCAATCCAGTTTATTTTCTAAAGCACTTCTCTGAAAGATCAAGAATCTCGCTTTGGCAGTCCTTTTGAACTTTGCCATAGTGTATTGACACGTGACAGTTTTTTTTTTCCTACGGAAGGCAATTAAAAGAATGTTTTCATAGTGTGATGTTTAGTGTCAGAAATAAAAACAAATCAGTAAAATTATTTTTAATCACTTTTCATCTCCTGAAGGCAAAAGCAAAAAAAATAATAATTTTAAGCTCAAGAATAATTAATACAGCATTAACGTGGCTGTTTTCGTGAAAACCACTTCATGGTAACTATGAACTGACAAAGAGCTGTTATTCTTTCAATTACAAAAGTGCCCCAGGATACTTTTTTCAAGTTCCTATGAATGAAAGGTTTCATAATAAAGCACAAAGAAAACCTTGGCATAAATATTAATATTCCTGCTGTGCCTAATTAGTATATCAAAGAGTGGCAAAGGCCATTACTCACTCAAAAACTTGTTTCAGCTCAAACATCACTAGCGTTTTCAGCTTTAGAAGACGTTTCAGTTTTAATTTTTTAGGTGAGTTTTAATTTTGTGTCTCAGGACCAGAAGTAGCTAATGGACTGTGACCCCATGTCCTGAATTAATGAGCTCTTTGCTAGTGTAAAGATGTTCTTGGGAAGAATCTATACTTATTTTGAAGACCACTGGCTTTGACATTATTTTGGCCAAAATGGAACTCCAGACCAGTCCAGACTCCAGCTAGGATATCGTGACTCCAGAGACACTGCTAGAGCAGTGCATGGGCACCAGGACTCTCCCTTTCAACTGGAAAACCAGATACTGCTAGAGCATCAGGACAGTCTCCTGCCGGAGCGAGCCAGACACTTCTGGGGTACTGGGATTCTCCCACTCCAGAGAGCCAGACACTGCCACAGCCCTGGGACTGTCCCTCTCGCCTGGATAGAACATATTTCTCTGCCTTGGATCAGTCACTGATGGTTAAATCCAATCCAAGTACACCCTTTTCCTGGGATGCTGTTACACAGGAATGGGTTGTAATCCCCCATTCCTCAGAATTGTGTCTTGTCCACACCAAATTTAAACTCATTGAAGCCTTTCAAAAGATTAGAATCAACTGTAAAAAAGCATTAAGCTCTATTTTGAGTACACTGTGAAGTTCATGGCTCCAGAGCTAACAGGTGTACAATTCAAGTTTGTGTTTAAATCAAACCAAGAAAGAGTTATTTTTTTTTTGCTACCAACTAACCAAAGTGTTTTCCATATCTGCTGATTTCTGTATGTGCGGAAATTACAAAACCGCATTAGCGACAGTAAAATGTGCAAAAACCTAATTAAATTCAACGGTTCAGTTTATTCTAGAAATGCTTCTTTCGAAGTGCGGGAAATACTGACGTCTACCTTACCGTACGTCCTTATGTCCACCAGAGGGCGTCTGAATTCCAGTTTTGCTCTCATCGCATAATGTTCTCATGCCTACAGTATATCTGCTAATCATGCAGCGGAGGTACAGTAGTCTTTCTGCTGGCTAGGGAAAGACTTAATGATATGTCGATGAAAAACTCAACTTTAGGGCAGTACGAGAATTGTAAATGGTGTCGATGGAAACAAAAATCTACCAAACAGCTCTTTCATGCTCTTGAGGTACAATTGTTTATGAACCAGACGTTTGGGAGAAACAATGCGCAGCGGCCCGAGCCACGAGTATTCACTGTTCAGCTTGTAAAGGTACAGTATTAACAGTGTAACTGTAAGGTTCGTAGCTTACAAGAGTGTTAGACAAGAGTGTCGTAAGTCGCTACCTATATACGATTTTATATAGGTTGCGACTTTTTTGTGTAAACGTTAGTTTTCCATTTAAAACTGAATTTCACAGAAGACGTATATTCAATATAATTACATATCCTGATATCCTGTTTTGCTAACTAAAACTTATATAGCGCTTTTCTGGACACTCCACTCAAAGCTCTTTACAGGTAATGGGGTCTCCCCTCCACCACCACCAATGTGCAGCCCTACATGGATGATGCGACGGCAGCCATAGTGCGCCAGAACGCTCACCACACATCAGCTATCAGTGGGGAGGAGAGCAGAGTAATGAAGCCAATTCATAGAGGGGGATTGTTAGGAGGCCATGATTGATAAAGGCCAATGGGAAATTTGGCCAGGACGCCGGGGTTACACCCCTACTCTTTTCGAGAAACGCTCTGGGATTTTTAAAGACCACAGAGAGTCAGGACCTCGGTTTTACGTCTCATCCGAAGGACGGCACCTGTTTACAGTATAGTGTCCCCGTCACTACACTGGGGCATTACAGTAGGACCCACATGAGCCGCAGGGTGAGCGCCCCCTGCTAGCCCCACTAACACCCCTTCCAGCAGCAACCTTAGTTTTTCCCCAGGAGGTCTCCCATCCAGGTACTGACCAGGCTCACACCTGCTGAGCTTCAGTGGGCTGCCAGTTGTGAGGTACAGGGTGATATGGCTGCTGGCATTGCAGGGTGATATGATGGTTGACGCACTGTAGCCATTGTGCACCAGCAGCCACAATGTAAATATGAAAACCCTAACAAACCCAGAATGGCATTTTTCCGAAACTCCTGGTTTAACATAACTATCTTGACAGTGATCATAGTCAGAAATTTGGTTGAACGTCTCGCCCGAAACAGCACAATCTCACCGCTCAACAAAAGATGGGGAAATTAGTTTGGAAATTCTGGTACTGAGGATAGGGCAACACCTAGTGGTCCACTGAGACCACAAACCTGATTTCACTTTGAGGACTCCCATCCCAGAACTGAGCAGTTCACTGTTTTCCACTGCCTCATGTCCTTGTAGTCTGTAGTGTGTTTTACCAACGTTAAAGTGGTTTTTAATAGATCCTGATACTGATAGGTTCACTGTTTGAAGAATTTTCAACTTTAACTCCGGTTAAATTTGAAGTAAACGACATCGGAAAATAACTCAGGAAAGTCCGTCGCTTTCTTTAGAAAGAGGCTTCTATTTAAATTCTTAATATGAAACATACATCTGTAGTGTACTGTATATAGACAGTATGCCAGGATGACTAAAGAGATAAGGGGCCCATCTCGAATCCCCATGGAGACTGGATTTCCCCTGAGACCGCATCTTTCCCGGAGGATGACTGCGTAAAGTGTCACTAGATCTTGGAGGCAAGTGTTTTTAAGACTTTAAGGCTTTTCTTGCGGCTCGATTTCTTTAATTACACACCGTCCCGTGGTGTAATTCTTAATCTTTCTAACAGATAAAGTTTAAAGTTGCTCCACGCTACTGCTAGAGAGTGCTGCTTGAGTCTTAATATCCCCGAACTGTCAGATTATAAAGAAATGTAGCAATTTCAGAGATTTAGGTTCTGCTACAATTAAAACGTAAACTTGAAGGAGAACACCTTCAATTTATGGAGGATACAATGTAGCCACGAGGAACACGCAGGAAATGACTTCATCAATCAGAATTTAGCAAAAAAAATCTAAACAAAGAGACTAATCCAAACCTGTCTCCCCGCCCCTTGTCGCCCAGATGAGGTTCTGATAGGCCGATCCTTGGAAATCCCTCTTGCGGATATGCTGAATATTCCATCAATCAATTCTGTCCGTAGTTTCCGCTGGGATTTACCGTCAGATTTTTTTTAACTATTTTTTTTTGTCTTTTTGGATGGGAAAATTAAAGCAGCAGGAGCGGGACGCATGAAGGTATGTTTTCATGTCTTTTTTACTGAATTATCTATTTAATTGACTGCGATACGTTCCTAGACTGTTAATATGTACTGGTGTGATGGACCGACTAGTTACAAAGTTAGCTGGAGCCTGAATCGTTTCCTATAGAAGTCTGTTTAATAGGGTAACAACAAAACAACTAAAAAAACGGAAAGGCAGGTAAAGTAAAAAAAAAAGTGTGCAAGAATTTGCTTAAACAGATATCTTAAAACGAAATATTTTCCAAATGACTGATGTTTTCTTTTATGTAATATTGTTACAACATTACGTTTCCGATACAGTTACAAACTGTACGATATATTTTAACAATACAACAACCAAAAGTTTATGAATAATAATGAAACATAGCACCTGGTGTTTTTGTTTAAAGATAAAACGTTCAACACAACTGAGTTAACTGGAAATATTTGAATTCAGATGTCACATTTAACAGAGGTGTTGGATAAGATTGTGTCAATATTATAACACTACCAGGTTTTATCGGTGATACAAATAATGATGGCTATATGGACAATGATGAAGACGAATAAGATCATATATAGACAATATTATTTTAAAATGGGTTATTAACAGACTGCTTTGGTTGGGGGGTACTGGTCCGAGGTAGAATTAAATAATATATCCCTTCTTCGGCTTCATTATAGTAGGCGCTTCTGACCCGTAGAGCAGTTAAAATAGCCATTCATGGTCGTCAAGTCTCAAATCTTCCACAAAGCCGCGCTTTGGGAAAGTTTTTTTTTTAATCACACTTCGCAAGTTATGAACTTGGGACAAAGCAGCACTTTACTGGGTATATTGGCAGAGGCATTAAATAATTCACACATTTTCTAGTAAAGTCTTCGCTTTGAAATCGGAGTACAGCACCGAATTTGTTTCAAGTGTTCAGATTTTTAAACAATATTCTGTTGACACGCACATTTAAGGTGTTTGTCAGCGTAAGCGTACCGTGAGATTTTCTTTTCGGATGTGCTTTTAGCAAGGTTCTGTTTTCTTTTCTCCTGCGTGTATGATACGGTTCTCTTGGCATTTCTGTTTACAGTGAAAAGGCTTAGGCATCCAATTGGGGTTTCGTGTCTGTGCGGGAGGGGCTCAAAAAGCTGATCACTGAGTGGGTAGAGTTAAAATGTCAGACTCCATTTACTTACTGAAATTCCCTACTCCTAGATACACATTGCGCTGCTGGACTTTCGGAAACCCCCTTTATTGTAGAAACAGTAGTGGTGACACGAGTTAAAAATCATAGAAGACCTAGGTTCTCATAGTTGGGTTGGCGTTTCAGTGTAATAGAACTGCTGTTAGGTTTGAATTTGCACTTGATCACTGGAGCGAGTGCCAAATCCTGTTGTGACTTGTAAACTCGGTGAACTTGATTAGGCGGCTCGGAACGAGCTGGGAGCTTTAATTGATGGACAATTAATCCATGTTTAATTAATTGTTATGGGGCTGCCCTCGCAATGATTGAAAGTGTTGCACCACTAGAAATCAAAGCTGAAAAAGAAAGCTTCATAAGCAATAAGCTGTGATACACATAGTAGACTTCCTCTCCTGCCCCACACTTCTCCCCAGTTATAGTAAAACCTAGCAGGACAGTGTAGTGAGTAGGCACAAAATAACTTTCAAGTCAAATGGTTTAGTAAAAAAAGAAACAGTTATCATGCATCATTTTATATTGTGAACAAAATTAACTAAATAAATTGTGATTTGTTTTCAGTATTAATTATGTTATCGTCAAAATTGAAAACATTACAAAGTTAAGATCAGGAATGACCCTCTTCAACATTAACACAGTCTTGGCAGCACTGACACACACACCTGATCAGCCTCTGGACAGATGGTTGTGGGAGGTCTCACCACTCTTCCTGTGCAGCTGCAGCCAGCTGGAAAAGGTTAGCTGGATGCATTTGTCTGTTGTTGATGGCAGTGGCAACTTGGTCCCTCAGATGTTTTATTGGACTCAGATGAGGAGAAATAGCTGATTACTGTAAGACCTCTGCAAGTCCGCAACATTGTTTTCTGGAAGTCATGTCATTGTAATCCTAGTACTGCATGGTCTCGCATTGTCCTGCTGGAAATGGACCCTTCTGGAGTATCTTGCAGGAATGGAAAAGCTGTTGGCTCAAGTTCTTTGACAATGTTTCCCTGTGCAGTAGGATTTGCCATCAGTCTTCTCCAATGGTGTTCTTGTCTTAAAGTCCAATTCCTCCCCAAATCATCAGACTTCCACCACTACATAAGTTAGCTTGAAAAATGGAAGAGTCACCCTAACCTCTCTGCACACACTAACCCAGAGAAAAGATCTAGCCTACAAGATTTTCGCATTAGTAGGAAGGATGGGAAAACACAATATTTACTATTTTCAATGCGAGGTATCATTTGTCCTCATCTATCAGCTCCCCAGCTAGTAACTATGTGCATGCTAGAACAGTATGTGGCCTGAAGCTATTTTGCTGTCATCAGGTGGTTTAAAGTTTAACCACTCAAGCTTGCTTTCCACTTAGGACCATATTTTGGTTTTAATCTATGATTCTGGCTTCTCTTCCAGCCCCCAAAAGGCGCCACCAGAAATAAAACCATGAAATTAGGTGCAGTCTTGCTTGTGTTTATCCTGTGCAGAAGATAGTCTGGTATAGCTGCAGTCCACAAAGGGTTAAAACAAAGGGCAAAAAAGTCCATGGGGAATGACCTCATCAGTTTTGAAAACTTGCTTCTTCACTTTTGTTCTCATTCTTGGCATTTTCACAGATCACCTGGGGAGCATTCATTACCTCTTTGTGTGGACTCCTGTTTGATCCTTTTGGATTCTTATCTTATTCTGTTGTCAATCCTAGCCAACCTCCAAACAGCATCCAGACTTAGCCTCTCAGCTATATTTGCAACATACAACATTTTGCACACTGGAGCAGTAGGGCAGCTGTGTGCCCAGATTTGCAGTTGATCACTGGGTCAAAAGCCTTCTACACCATCAGTATGCAATGATGACCTGAAAGATCCACTACATAATGAATGTAAATATCTCTTTTATTAAAATGTTTTTTCCACTTTTCTTCTTTGGTGGTGTTGAACTTCATCTTAAATGCAGTTCTGTATCTGTTCCAGTGCCCTCTCACTTTTTTATTAATCAAATCCTTAATTACTGTAGCTGTTACATCCGATTAGGCTTGTCTTATGTCCATTTTTAAACTGCATATTTTTCTTTTATGCTTTTCCTGTTTGGAATTGCCAATTGCTAATTTATTTATTATTTAACCATAAACGTACACATCCATTCATTATCCTACTGCTTCTTCCAGTTCTGGGTCATGGGGGAGCTGGAGACTATCCTGGCAAGCAATGGGCACAAGGCAGGATACACCCTGGGCGGGACACACACAGGCACAAATACGCTCACACCATGGCCAATTTTCCCCAAAGTCCATTAACCTACTAGTATGGGGAAGAAACTGGAGCACCTGGAGTTAACCTACATGAACACAGGGAGAACATACAAACTCCACGCAGATAGCACCCCAGGTCTGGAATTGAACCACTTTTCCAGTTGTGCTGCTTGCCCATAGACATGAGCCTTTGAAACGCTCCACTGTGAGTTCCACAGGACCTTGCAGACAATATAGTGTTGACTGAGGGGCACTGTTGCATGACAAGCTGAGGCTACCATGGTTGACTAGAGTCCACCAAATCCAGTGGCCCTCAGACCAGGTCAACTGTTATTACAGTTGGCTAGCAACACACCCCAGAATTGAAATGTGGGTCTGGAGTATACAGTAGGTCTCAACCTATCCCCATCAAGAACAACTTCACTTGATAAGCTGCTCATGAGCTTCTATTTTTACATAGTTCTCAGGTCCTAAAAAGCATTACAAGTACATTTTTAAATTGAATAACTAATCTTAAATCGTCAGCTGTGACAAAAATCAAAGAGGAAATATTGAGTTAATTTGTTCACTTTAAGTAATTGCAAACTCAGAAACAAATTTACAAATCACTTGGATCAGTAGTAATAGACATAGGATTCCCTTGTGGATAGGGCAGGTCTAGGAAGACTGTCCAATATTTCCTGAGGTAGGTCCCCCAAGGATGTCCATCCCTCTGTTTACAGTGTTGTCACATTGAGCCTGTGTCTAACACAGCAGGCACAGGGAACAAGATGGGACTACCATTTACTACCTTGACAATATGGGAAGCCATCACAGTCACAGCGGCCACTCATTCACTACACATATGACAGGTGCCAATTAACCTAGACCGCAAGTGTATGGACTAAGGAAAGAAACAGAGAGAAAAACCATGTGGACATATGTAGGACACACCTCCACAAAGAAGATGTCCCATGTCAGAAGCAAGCTCCAGATTCAAGACCTGCAAGGGAGCATCACTGACCTCCAAATTCACTTTTCATTGTGAAGCTAGACTCTACAGTCACAGACAAGTAGTGACATTCTTCATTGTAACAATGTTATTCACTAATTTCCATGGTTAATCATTATAAATAACAACTGTCAATCACAAAGCCAAATTATTCATTGATTCATTTTGTTTGCAAAACTACACTAATCAAAAATATGTTTTCAAGGTTGGTACCCCTTCAACCTCATCACATAGTAATTTGATAGTATTTGTGAAATCCTTTAATAACATATTTTCATAAAAGCGCTGATACTGTTTTTCTGTAGCCATTAGCTTTCTCAAGTAAGGAAACATGCTTCTTAAAGTACTTAAGTTTCTTTGTTAATAAACAGTTCTTGGGATAATGTTAACATCATACAGTACATGAAGCAATTTCCATTGCATCCTGTATAATAGTAATCTAATTTCTCACCTCATTTCCTCACTCAGCCTTTGTACAACAGTACAGAAGATGTTCTACAGATTTAAATGGACACGAAACACTGCGATTGGTAAATAACATGAGCTGATGCAAACTACTGATTTAAAGAAAGGTAGCAATCAACATGGTTTTCTCACTGTCAAAAGATACA